GTGAAAGATTGTTTGTCTCTATGGGTGTCCTGCCAATAACTGGTGACCCTTCCAGGGTGAAGTCTGCTTTAAGGAAGTCAGCTGGGATAGGCTACAGCACCCCGTGGGCCTGAACAAGATAAGCAATCGTGAAGATGAATGAATGGACAGTCACAGTTGATAAAAATCAACTGTTTGTCGGGTTATTGGGGTTATTTTTTTTTACAACACATATGGAAAAGTGTGGGACCAATGCAACATTTGCAATCATTTCAAAACTACAGCAAATAGATACAAATCCAAATACCCTTGTGTCAAAACCTACTTGAGAAATACATGAAAGGTTCAAAGATGCACGTTTAAAATTACAAACATACAGCAAAACAACAAGCCCCTGGGTCATTTTTGACCCTACTTATGCATCTGAGGGTTAAGCATGACATTCAGTGTTTATATACTGTAGCATGCACATTTGATTTTGGATTATATTTTATCCATCCATCCATCCATTTCCTAATCCGCTTATCCTCACAAGAGGCGCGGGAGTGCCTGATCTTATCCTAGCTGTCTTCAGGCAGAAGGCTGGGACACCCTGAAGTGATTGCCAGACAATCGCAGGGCACACATTGACGAACAACCATCCGTGCTCACAGTCATGCACGTTTTTAGAATGTGGGAGGAAACCGGGGTACCCGGAGAAAAGCCACGCAGGCACGGGGGTAACATGCAAACTCCACACAGAAAGGCTGGAGCCGGTATCAAACCCTGTACCGCTGCACTGTGAGGCAGACGTGCTAACTAGTAAATCCCCATGTCGCCGGATTACATTTTAGAATAAACGTAATATGTTTTTGTATAGTATCATGTTGGTCCCATTGCCTCATAGTGGCATGCATAAATCCATATTGAATACTCACTAAAATGATCAAAGTGGTTCCTGACCTTCTAAGGATTGCCATTATTTTGCTGCTGCGAGGCGAATACCATTGTGCTTTGGCAAGTCCTTGAGCAAAAAAGACACTGTAAGTGAGTGGAGATCACCAAATGGGAGGGGTGTTCTGCACGTATTCAGGAAAATGTTGGGTGAAAAAAATAGGATCAGCCCTTGTGCTGATTCGGAGATGCAAAGAAATCAAGTGTTTGTTATTCAGCAGTGATGGTTAACAAGACAAAGAAAGCAGGGAGAGAACATGGTGAAGGTCAAAGCTAGCAGATGAGAAGAACCCACATAGTTTAAAATGACTGAAGAAATTGCAAAGGGAATTTTCAGCCTGACTTTGAGCTTGAGTTTATGATATCATATGCACAAGCGAAGAACGTAATAATGAACTCTACTTCTGTCAAAATGTAACATGAATGTAGATTAATGTATTCAGGGGAAAAGTGTTAGTGAGTAGCTTAATAATGGTCTGAGTTATTAGATACAGTATAAGACCTTCAAAGTCAGCCGATTCCAATACGATTGTAGATTGTAAAACCTCTTGAAGTCTCCTTGAAGCTTTGAAGCTTCCAAATGAAGCTGTAACATCGGTCTTTATAGAGATGAACGCCTCGGGTGGTGAAGTCCTGAAAGGAGACATTGCACCACTGTCTGCCTTGAATATTGTTGAAAATACAAAGTATATGGATTTAGTCTATAAATAAGAAACAGTCAATAAAAAAGCCTCAAAAGCGTGGGCGCATACATTGTAAACCTTTGGATTTGCAAGTAAACATAATATCTTATACGTCTGCTGCACAAAGCCCTGTTTTACATGGCTTTAGAGTCGCTGCATTTTAATGTGTTTCATAAATTCTGGTCTGAAAATAAACATTCAGGTCCCACAAGGTAGTTTTGCTCATCGAATGCTAACTAATTAATGGAAGAGCTGTGCAAATATTCTGCCGCTACAAAGATATTAATGCTGTGTTTCTGTTGGATCTTTTAGAGAGGACTTAAATTCACAATGTTTCTTATGTGTTTGTGGTTTGTTGGAAAGTCAAACTTTTTTAGACTGACATGTCTCATATATTTCTCCATTGTGAGACAGATAAAGGTTTTCTTATCTTATCTTATATTTGACGATCTCCTGCAGATAAATGATCTGATGTGATGATCTATTACAGTTCTTCATTACGGAAAACTACTAATGCACATTTTTAAATGAATATCGATTGAGGTCATTTATAATCTAATCTAATCTAATCTAATCTAATATATTTTACCAGCCTGTAAAATAATATGCCTCTCATGACCTGTGTTTTTGATGTGATGTGCTTTCAGTTGGTTTTAATTTTGTCACCCGAGAGATGCCGATCCAAAGAGATGCTTCTCCCCCCCAAAAAAAGAAGCAACAAACACTGGACAGACAGATAGATAGATTCCAACATATTCTTTTGGTAATGAAAAACACTGCCAATTTCCACAGATGAAAAATACATTTATTTTCACATACAGTATTTACAACGTGTACATGAATAGAAATGTGACTGTTGCTTTCCTACACGTTCAAAATATAAGATGCCCTGATTCTCCTTAAGGTCCCCATCACTCCCTGACAAATTCCAGTTTTTGGAGCTTTAGTGCACTGAAATGACGCCGTTTTCTCGGTTTGACATGATCATGAACGTCGATTACAATACGTGCTCTGTGATTACAAATTCACTTGCGAAAGCATTACGCACGATGACCACATTCACAGTGTGAAAACGAGGAATTTAAAGTAAACTTTAAAATCGTGAATTAAAGGGATCCATTAATTCTGGAGCTTGCAAATCCTCTGTGATCGACGACGGACAAATGGAACTCAACATTGTCAGTCGTGCGAACCGCTTGTGCGCGCCCGTGCGTAAGAGAGCGCGCCGCGCACCCCTTTCTGTTGTCGCTGGCGCACGGACTGGGTGACCTCCAGAATAAAGCACGGAGCATCTTTCTGATTTCTGGCCTCATGAGACAGTAAAGCAAGGGGTTCAAGCAGCTGTTGGCGTGCGCCAAGCACACGGTGACTGGAAATACGTACACGTGCACCATGTAGTAGGACCGATCCCAGTTGACTGCGTTAAGTTTGACCAAAACGCCCCAGAAGGTGATGGCGTGGTTTGGCACCCAACAGCAGAAAAAGGATAACACAACAATGGCAACAGATTTGGTGACTTTCGACCTCCTATTTCGGTTGCTGGTGCACATGCTCTTGCGTTTAATGAAGCGCAGAAGCAGCAGGTAGTTGACGGACACGATAAACAGGGGGATAATGAAAGCTACGAGTATTTTTTGAATGTGATAAAGTGCGAGCCAGTCGTGTCCTTCCGGAAATTTCAGGAGACACAGTTTCTCGCCGGCGACCACTGTGACCGCGGAGAAGACCGCCGTGGGAGCCGTGGCCACCGTGGCCGCGACCCACAGCACGGCGCACATCCACTTCACACACCTCGGCCAACTGAGCGCGGAACTCTTGAGCGCCGAAGTGATGGACAGGTATCTGGTGACGCTCATGGCCGTGAGGAAAAAGACGCTGGCGTACATGTTCATCACCGTGACGGACAGCACCACTTTGCACATGGCGTCGCCAAACGGCCAGCTAAAGTCCAGCGCCGTGTCCACGGCCCAGAATGGCAGCGTCAGCACGAACTGGAAGTCGGTCACGGCCAGGTTGATGATGAAAAAGTTGATGGCCGACTTCTTTCGACCTTGTCGTAGCCTCATGAGGTAGAAGACGAGCAGATTGCCCACCAGTCCCACGGCACAGACCACCGAGTAGACCACTGAGATGAGGATCCTCAGGAAAGGACTCCCGTCCTCGACCACTTCGTTCTCATTGAAGTGGAAAGGCTCCTCGCCGGGCGCGCTTTGGTTCAGGACGTCAGTCTGGTTTAATATGACATCCATCCTCAACACAACACGGCACCGAGCTCGCCTCTCGATCAGGACGTGTCAGAATTGTTGTCCATCGTCGCTCCTCTTTGAGAGACAGCTGACGGCAGCGGCGCTTTTATTGGGTTGGGTGTCTCTGCTGCGCCACGATTGGCTGGGAAAGGAACTTGTGGGTTTCATAAACAAGTGAGCAGCAACCCCACGTCACTTCATGATGGATTATTATACTGTATATGGGAAAGACCGTTCCCGAGGAGGCAAACATCACCTAAAGGATGTGCGTAAAAGGCGCACGTCGAGCTGGAAAATAAAACAAAACCGAACTGAATTAAATACATAACTGAATTAATGGAGATAGATTTAAACAAATGGAAAAATTCTAGCAAACAGAGAATTCTACGTTTATTATATCATCCATCCATCCATTTTCTATCCTCATGTAGGTCGTGGGTGTGCTGGAGCCTATCCCAGCTGTCTTCGGGCAGCAGATGGGGTACACCCTGAACTGGTCAACCAGCCAATCGCAGGGCACACATAGACAACCAACTATTCACATGCACTCACAATCACACTTAGGGACAAATTAGTGTTCCATTAACAATGCAGTCGACTACCACGTCGTCCTATTATTATTATTATTATTATTATTATTATTATTATTATTATTATTATTATTATTGTTATTATTATATTTTAAGTCGACTGGTCAGCATGTCCGCCTCACAGTGCGGAAGTCCGGGATTCGGGCTTTGGCCCCTCTGTGTGGAGTTTGCATGCTCTTCCCGTGCCTGTATGGGTTTTCTGCGGGTCCTCCGGTTTCCTCCCACATTCTAAAAGCATGTTCGGCAGGTTAATTGATCATTGATCTAAATTGTCCCTATAGCAGTGAATGTGAGTGTGAATGGTTGGCTGGCAACCAGTTCAGGTTGTACCCCTCTTATCTTGCCCGAAGTCAGTTAGGATGGGCTCCAGCACACCCATGACCCTCGTGATAATAAAGCGATCCATATAATGGATGGATGGATGTAACTATTGATATACATATACAGCACTACTAACTAAAAAGTCTAGCGAGTCATATGGTTTGAGAGTCACTTTCTGGCTCACTAAAAATTAGAACTGTTTCATATAAATGTCAAATCTATTCTACAGCACGTTTATTGCCGCCTTATAACATAGCCCTGTGAACTACCACATGCCTGTCAAATTATAGATACGTTAAAAAAAGATGAAAACATGTGAGGACTATTCACATTGGCATCAGTCTTAATTTAGCCCTGCCTTGAGATAACACGTTTTTCCATCACCTGTATAATCAACAGATATTTGGATGGATAGATAGATAGATAGATAGATAGATAGATAGATAGATAGATAGATAGATAGATAGATAGATAGATAGATAGATAGATAGATAGATAGATAGATAGATAGATAGATAGATAGATAGATAGATAGATAGATAGATAGATAGATAGATAGATAGATAGATAGATAGATAGATAGATAGATAGTTGGATGAGTGGACGGATGGATGGATAGTACCGCCTTTGTTCCACTAGATGGCAGACGAATACAGTTGGTGTCTTGTTTTTTTTTCCTTTGGTTGTTTTTTTTTTGTTTTGTTTTTTTTAAATAAGATGCCGTTTTGTTGGCTGGGTTTGTGCAGATTAAACACTTCCTGACATTTTACTGCAATGGTACTGCTGTGTGACGACCTGAAAGTTGTATTAGTTGCATAAACCTGGGAGTCCTGAAGTGAACCACATGAATCCTAAAGCACTTGTTCGATGTTCATCTGGGTCGGCTCCGATTACGCGGAGTCCCTGTTAAAACTCCTTGCAGCCGATATGAAGAGAAAGCCTATTGTTTTGGGTCCACCCATCTGTGGGGGTGGTTCCGCTGCGAAAGTTAGCAAAGTTTTCAAGCTGTCACTGGCGAGAGGCGGATGGAGGCACAGGCGTTTTTAAGCAAAGGCGAAGGCCGACCAACAGCAAGCCTAGCACGGGGAATACATAAACAGCAGCAGATAACGATGAGGCTTGAATTGCAGAAAGTAGTTTAAGTGCGCGCTCGAATGCTGGGGGCCACGATGAAGCTCATTTGAATGATCATTTGGCACCGTGTAAACTGTGTCATGTAAACTTGATCTTTCTGTGCTGGCAAAATGACCCGTTTGGACTGCAGGCTTCACATCGCACATGGAGCTTCTCCCATCCACTTTTTCATGGTACTTGTGACCGTGCTGGACAACTGCAAGTCTGGGCTGGGACTACAACGACAACCAGGTCAGTCAAGTTCTCCAAACAGCGCTTGCACCTGAATTGTGAGCGCAGCAATTAAGTATCGAGAAAAAAAAGCATTTCATTCTTATGCGCCCTGGAGTAAAGCAAACCTCAACTATAGCCCCAAGGCTCTCGACATCTCAGTCTAGGATCGAAAAGATAGTTCCCGCAAATGATCGGTTGCTATAAATTGCATAATTGAAGTGCTCATATGATTAATTAATTATTGCCTTGCATATTCAAATCCCGGCCAAAATGTGGAAATCCAAGATCTTGAGATTTGAGCGAGCCATCCACCACAATAAATTAAATTCCCTGTTCAATGATCAGCCTCACATCCAGCACGTTGGTGCAGAGTGGTTAGTACATTTGACTCACAGTTCTGAGGTTCTGTGTTCGAAAGTTTGCTTTGGTCTTCCTTTGTGGATTTTGCATCATCTCACCATGCTTTTATTGTGTTCACTGCCTTTCTCCCACATTCCAAATCCATACTAGTTAGGCTAATTAAAGACTAAATTCACACGAATTAGATTTCTTTGTATACAATAGTGGAAAAAGGGTATAATTTACCTGACTTTAACTTTTTCACATTTGGCCAGAACTTTTTTTTTTTTTTAACCCCCTGGTCAAATACTGTTTCATGACACTATATACTGCTGCTGTTAAAAATGACAGCAAAACTGGCATATGAGACACGCTGATTGTTCACATAGCTAAATGGATTGATCTGTCTGCCGGTTGCCAGAGAAACCAAAAGACAGTACTGGTATTCTTCCCGTGCCTTGATTGAATAGCTCAAGTTTTCCATGTTCTCTTCCCACCATCGCTCCAACAGAGAGATTCCTCCAGGACCTTCCTCCGTATGAAGTGGTTCACCCCACTAGAGTGAGTGTCACAGGTCACTTCCTGTCCAACTTCCTGTCTCATCGTGCTCGCCGCATACAGCGTCGCCATGTCTCAGGGGAGTCCATGGACCAGGAGCGAGTCTTCTATCAATTGTGGCATGCTGGCCACAGTTTACACTTTAACTTGACTCTCAACCCACATCTGCTGGCTCCGGGCTTCTTGACAGAGCGTCGGTACGGCGGCCTCAAAGGAGGAAAGATCCGCCCCCCTGGATTTGCTCGGTGCCATTTCCTGGGGGAAGTGTCGGATGGATCGGCTGTCAAAGGGAGTGCAGCGATAAGCACCTGTGATGGACTGGTGAGTTGGACACCAGTGCCTAATATAACACGATACCAGGCAGAAAATTGACAGCTTGCAACTGAAGACTGTGACCGCATGATCAGATTCACTTAAGCAATCATTGGGCATGTTAAATGTTCAAAATCATTTCATACTTGGGAATAGTTACATTTTATGCTTGATCTAATATGCTTTGTTAATCAATGATGGAAAATCTCTTTCCATTCTCAGACTTTTACATTTTATTTGAATTTTATGCATTACACCACAAATAAAACCATGTCACACACACAGAGGCATAGGGGAGCTGAGTGTGAGGGGCCCGCTAAGCCTGAACATTTTCATCTACAGATGAAGCGTCAGGAGCAAGTGGGGTACAGTATCTTGCTCAAGGACATTTCAATGTGGTCACAAGGGCCGAGGATAGGACGCAGTGACCTCTCAACCACTGACACATGCCTCTTCTAAAAAAATTAAAACAGAAATATAAAATATAACGTAGGATCAGGTGTGCAGTATATGCACAGAGTAACAGCACATAACAAAACAATCACTCCCCTTATCCATATTGCACATTTGAGAATGTTTCAAATGAAGAAAAAAAACAGGGCTAACACAAGACCCCAACCATTAAAATAATGATGTAAATGAAAGAGGGGGCGGCCCAGTGGTCGACTGGTTAGCGCGTCAGCCTCAGAGTACAAAGATGCAGGGTCTGATTCCGGCTCTGGCCTTACTGTGTGGAGTTTGCATGTTCTCCTCATGCCTGCGTGGGTTTTCTCTAGGTACTCCGGTTTCTTCCCATATCCCAAAAACATGCATGGCAGGTTAATGGAACACTCTAGATTGTCCCTAGGTGTGATTGTGAGCGCGAATGGTTGTTCGTCTCTGTGTGCCCTGGAATTGGCTGGCGACCGGTTCAGGGTGTCCCCCGCCTACTGCCCGAAGGCATCTGGGATAGGCTCCAACACGCCCCTCGACCCTTTTGAGGATGAGCGGATCAGAAAATGGATGGATGGATGGATGGATGGACAGATCGATGGATGAAAAAGGGTTACATCATACAGTACTCATTTTTATATAGTCTTACAATGTTGATACTGTGTTGGAAAAGTTCAGTCCCAAAATACACTTGTGCGTGTGACGTCATCACCCATTTCCGACATGAGACAAACTGATTAGTGGAATTATCAGGCAAGCAAACAAAATGGTTCCAAGTGATATGGTCAGAATTAACGGCGGAAGGCAGGCAGTATCGAGAATCTTCTTTCTAGGACTGGCTATGGATTCAAAATTCCAAAATTGATTAGATTCCATTTGCAAGGGGCTGCCACGTTGTTGAAAGTGATTTAAATATTTATTGCAGTGTAAATTTAGTGGAGAAACACTCTGTAAACTCATGGCATTCTCATTCCTGTGACTGTCTCACAACAATTTTGAGTTCAATGGTGTCTTCTTGTTTGTTTTTTTTTTAAACCAAAAAAACTTCCAGACATCTGCCGTCAAGCTTGTTGGCGCCGATTTCGCTGCTTCGGCCATGTTGTTTTGTTACGCTACTCTCGCTTGACACGAGAAGTCGCATGAATTTATAGGAAAAGACGTATTAAAAGGATCAATTTATGGTTTTATGAATCGATGACATGCAGGCGCAGCACAAGCGTACACACAGCCAAATAAAGTTAAAGCACACACACTGTGTGGTGATATAAAAACAATGTGGGATAATTTCATTGTGATCTGTGGGTCCAAGAGGTATACAACACAGCCAGCTTCCTGTACGTGCCAGGACATTCTAAAAAAGGAGCAGTCTTTGAGACTTGGGACTAGATTAAGTACTCAACACAACCACAGCGTCACCAAATTGACCACTGATGTTCAAACGTTTTTTTTTCATTCTTTGCAACCCCATTGCAATCGTCACCCCCACGAACTAACACACGAAACACTCGTCACGATGTTTCATGTTCGGTCTGAACCTAGCATTGGAATCATGTTACTAGGAACAGGTTCAAACAAAAAAAAAGTGTTTTCCATTCCCATTTCTACTGTTGAGTTTGACGAAATTACAAGATGATTTGCATCAGGGCAAAGGAATCGTATGAGTTGGTATTATTGTTGTGGGAAACCAGTTCCTTTGGGTTGGATAGATGATCTGAATTGTGAAGATGCCTGCGTATGTTCATAAGTGAAGAGTGCTCAACATTCCTGATGCTGCAGAATGAGATACGGGTTAGTTCTGGATACTTGTAAAATTACATTGAAGGAAATGAACAGATGGTCAAATATGGTTTAGCCCGGTTAGACCAGAACTAAAGGCGGGATTCGGGTTTGGCTGTTGGAGTGGGTAAGGAAGTTGATGAATTGTTCCAGTGTAAAGTTGTTAAAAGTCCAGACATAATTTTCCATTATTGAACACTGTCTATACACATGTTAAAATCCATCCATCCATTTTTTTTTTGCCTATGCCGTCAAGTGTCATGGGGTGCTGAAAGCCTATCCCAGCTGACTTAGGGAGAAAGTCAAACAACACCCTAGACTGGTCGCCAGTCAGTCACCGGGCATAGAGCCATACAACAGATCATATTCACATGTCTTGGAATGACACTAAACACACTAGCAAAGGATTTTTTTGGACTTATGGACAATATGTGACCAGACCGACACATGAACAAGGACAGATTTTGGACCTTATCTTGCTTATGGTCTTTTGGTGTCAAAACTTGGAAGTCTTGGACAATGTGATTTTTGATCACAGGACCATTTTCTTTGATGTTGTTTGATCACGTGCTGCTGTTAAATCTGCTGCTCCACAGTGCAAGCGGGCGAATTTTTAACCCTCTCGCTGCTGGTCAGTTCTCTGATGCATTTAATAACCTTGATGTGTCCTCTTCAAACACAGAGGAACTCACCTTTCGGTTCAACTCATCCTGCCATGCTATACTGGATTCGGTGGATCCATTAAAAACTGTGCCGTCAAAAACCTAAACTTGAGCCTTGGTTTAGTGACAGAACTGGCGCAGCTAAGCAGGAGTGACGTAAAGCCGAACGCTTGTGGAAAAAAGACAAGTTGCATGTCTCTTATCAAATCTGGAAACGCTGCTAGTGTTTCCAGATCACAGTTAAAGAGGCCAAAATAGAACATTCATCAAACCTAATTCAGGCTAACTGTCAAAACCCACGTGTACTATTTAAAACCATTGATTCTGTACTAAAACCAACTCAGCCTACTTGCTTAGACTCTTCACTTCTTTGGAAATGTCCAACGGATTCCTTCAGTTTGTCATTGATAAGGTTTCTACAACTAGGACTTTTGTTTCAAACACCACATTTGACCTCTCTATCCATGTTCCGTGTTCAGCTGTGTTAAATTCTTTTGAAGCTATTTCCTTGACGTTTTTAGTGGATGTGGTTTGCCAGATGAAGCCAGCTGGCTTCCTTTGTCACTCTGTTCCTCCACATTTCTTTAAGAAGGTTCTCCCAAGTATTGGTACATCCGTCTTGGCCATTACCAACAGCAGTCTCTCTTCTGGTACCCTTCCTCAACAGTTTAAACATGCTATGGTGCAACCCTTGCTCAAGAAACCTGACCTAGATCATGGATGTACTGTCAAATTTTAGGCCCATTTCCAAGCTACCTTTCATTTAAAAAAGTCTTGAAAAAGTGGTGCACGTGTAGTTAAAATCATTCTTGAAGGTCTTCCAGTCTGGTTTCAAGATGATGCATAGCACAGAGTCAGCCCTGTTACAAGTTTTTAATGACATCCTCATCACAAATGACACCGGCGACTATAGGGGTGTTCACATGGCAACATTTGCTCCGGTGCTGCGCCGTAGCTGCCCCAGTAGAGCGTTCACACGTGCAAAGTTACACCGGTGTAGCCCCTAAAAACAGCTTCAAATTTAACCCTGCTCAAGGAGGTGGTTTAAAAATTTGCTCCGGAGCAAATGCTCATTTGCGGGGGGGTGTAGCCTCACTACGCATGAGAAGAGTTGATTACATATGGCTAGAATGCGTTGCTTTTGTGCTCTGTTGTACTTCCGTCATCTTTCCTTTTGTAGGAGACTGGACTGTCTCGGAGTTGTTTGTGTAGTTTGTTCCTCTGTTGTGTGTTCACAACCCCCCCATGGAATTTATTTTGTTCTTGCCTCTCTTGATTTTCTGTTTGGCGCGTTATATGTTTGCTTTTCTGAGTGTCATTGAAGTCATCGTTGATTTACCGTTTTCGGGGGCGGTCATTGAACGCCTCTCGAGCAGAAGGCATGGAGACTGAGAAGGAGAAGGACGTGCATGTACAGTAGTTGCTTGAGTTGTGTATGTTTTAAAAAGAACCAACATGACTGCTCTTTGTTTTCTATCGTTTTGCACCGCTGCAGAAACTCCGGTGCAAGATATATCGCAACGAAATACATCGGTGCAGCACCGAAGCAAATGTGTGCCGTGTGAACACCCCTTATGTGTGTCTGGTTTTATTGGATTCAACTGCAGCATTTGATACAGTGGATCACAATATTCTTTTGCCTCTTTTACAGCACCCGGTGGGAATTGGCGGTAGCACCCTTTAGTGGTTTAGATCTTATTTAGCTGACAGAACCTTTTAGCCTTGGTTGCTGTGAGTCACAAACTGCCCCACAGTCGTGTGGTGTTCCGCCGGGCTTAATTCTGGAGCCTCTGCTGCTCTCACTGTCTCTGTTCCCATTGGATTACAACTTAAGGAAATTTGGTATTTCTTTTATGTGGATGACTGTCATATCTATGTCCCGCTGAGTAAAAAGGAGACTTTTATTTTATGCACCCATGATCCACACCGCTTATCCTCACAAGGGACGCGGGCGTGCTGGAGCCAATCACTGTGGATATTGGGTGGGGTACACTCTGAATTGGTTGCCAGCCAATCACAGTAGGCTACTTTAATTCCTGTATTTTTACTCTAAAATCCTCAATATATCAGTGGCATAAAAAAAGGGACTTTTGTTTATTGTGATAGTTTGTGGGGAAAATATAGTGGCCTGAAAAAAAC